TGTAACCTTAGCAGTTCAAACCCATCAATCAGCTGTTCCACAGAGAGAGGTTAGTTTATCTGCTTTCCTAAAGATTTATAACTCCAGAAACCTCGGGCAGTTCTACTCTACCCTATAGGGTTGCTATGAGTCAAAATGAACGTGATAGCAGTGATTAAAAAAATTAGGCTAAAAAGAAACGCGAAGTCATACGAACAAATACAGTACACCAGAAAAGGTAAGTAAATTGGCAAATAGGAGGGCAAGTTAAAAAGTATTTCAGTCCAGTGCTTATCCAAGCAGGTCTCATTTTATTGAGGAATAACACCTTAATCATAACATCATTTTTCTTAATTATGCTATCCTGAAAATTCCAAGTTTGTCGGTATCCCTACTGGAGCATAAAATTTCGGGTAAGGACCTGACCATCACTGCTGTATTATCAAGTCCTATAAATATGCATGGCATATGAATATTTCAATTGAACAAATGAACGGAATGACTGTATCATCTGGAACATCTTGGTGGTAAAGGATTAAAACGTAAGCTTAGGTATTACTGAAATGGCAACACACTCAAAAAGAAATAGCATTGACTGAGCCACCGTTTTAGAAGGAACTTGAATACGTACCAGTGAGAATGGACAAAGTAGTAGACTTCCCTGCCCCATTCTGTCCTAGAAGAACAGTGATCTGACCCGGATATATCTTCCAAGTTAAGTCATCCACTGCTACTTTGTCATGATATTCCTGTGAGGTAAAGAAAGGATAATTCGATAACTTTCACTATTAATTACCAAAGACAAAACACAGCCTCGGTTCTTTAATTTGATTATGTTCTGCTGGGAATGCTGCCAAGTCTATTTCAACTCAGTCATCCCACGTGGTAAAACAAAACTGCTTCATCAGGCTTTCCGAGATGTGATCTCTACCGAAGCAGATCACTAGGTCATTCTCCCGTGGAGCCACTAGGTGGTATAAACCTAAGTAAGTAAGTAAGTAGACGAATGTTTAACTGCTGTGCTATACATATACAACAAACTCATTGCCTTTGAGTCAATGCTGACTCATATGACCCCCCTTGTGAATTTCTGAGTATAAAACTGTTTACAGTAGAAAACCCAGTCTTTCTCCCATGGAGCTGATGATAGTGGTGTTGAAATGCCAACCATGTGTATTACAGCCAAATGCTTAACGAAGACACCACCAGGGTTCTTTATTACTTTTAGATACTGATAATTCTGCCATCTTTTTCAGTCAATATCTCTCCTCTAAGGTATATCCTCTAAGCCAGTGGTTCTCAACCTTGCTCATGCTTTGACCCTTTAAAACAGTTCCTCATGTTGTGGGGACGCCCCCAACCATAAAATTATTTTCATTGCTACTTCATAAACTATAATTTTGCTACTGCTATGAATCAGGTGACCTCTGTGAAAGGGTCATTCGACCCCCAAAGGGGTCACGACCCACAGGTTGAGAACGGCTGCTCTAAGCTATCGCTCACTGCCATCAAGCTGATTTGACTCAGCAGCCCTATAGGACACGGTAGAACTGCTGCCTCTGGGGGTTTCCAAGACTGTACCTCTGAAAGGCAGTAGAAAGTCTCCTCTTTCTCCTATGGTGCAGCTGTGGTGCTGGCTTGGGTTTTGTTTTTCTTAAATAAACCAC